GACAGCCTGGCCCTGCCAGACTGTCCCCTGCCAGCCCGGCCCTGCCTGAGCTGGCCCCTGCCAGACTGTCCCCTACCATCCTCTGCCTGTCCCATCCTTGCCTGGGCTGGCCCCTGCCAGACTGTCCCCTGCCAGACTGTCGCCTGCCAGCCCGGCCCTGCCTGTCCCTGCCCATCCCATCCCTGACAGCCCAGCCCTGCCAGACTGTCCCCTGCCAGACTCTGCCAGCCCCTGCCAGACTGTCCCCTGCCAGCCCCTGCCTGTCCCATCCCGTCCCTGCCTGTGCCATCCCGTCCATCCCTGCTGTGGCAAAGGCCGCAGAGGTGCCCCACCACCAACACCCTCGGTGGAGAGGCACCGTCCCACGGTGTCCCTTTCCTGCCCGTTTTCCTGCGTGTATTTGAGGACCCCGTTCCGTGGCTGGACGCCGCCGTGGTGTTGGTGACGCCTTGCACGAAGCTCCCGGACGCGGGGTGCCGGCACGCTCCGGAGAGCTCTGCCCTGCTCCGCCGAGAACCGGAGCTCCAGGACAAGGACCGGTTAGCCAAGGCTTCATGCAAAGAACGCCCGACGCTTATTCCTCGAGTGGGGTGCTGCTGCGTGGCCCCCGCCCGGCCCTTACGACCCAGGACATCTGGGCAATGGCAGTGCTTTTTGGGGGTGTCCCACGAGGGCTGTCACCCAACGCGCTGCCCAGGCACAGACCGTGTCACGTCGGGCTGCGCGCCTGCTATGGGGTTGAGCGTTCACGTATCCTCCGGGATACGAGCGACGCCTTGCCGTGGGATGGTGGCACGGCTCACGGCACGGGGAAGGGACAAGAGGCAGCGGGTGTCAGCTCTGTCAGCTGGCGGTGGGACCCCGGAGCAAAAAGGAGGGGGTTGGTGGTGGGAGCCCAGGCCCGGCAATCGACCCCCCCCAGCCTGGCAGCATGGGGGGACCTTGACCTAACCCCCCCCACCAAAGTGCAGCTGGGTGAACGGGTGAGAGGTGTTACCTCCCAAACTGCAGCCTGCAGCCAGCTCCTGCCGCGGCTGGGTTTGCACACCGAGCCTGGAATAGTCCAAGTTTCACTGAGCCCAGACCCCATTTCCCAAAGCCACCGAGTATTAAATGAAAAATTCAAACTATGACCCAAGTTGCATTGCGTTCCATCTCAGCTGTTTCTTGCTCTTTCCAGTTTTATGCATCTCATTTGCGCCTACATGAGTAGGCAGGAATTGCTGAGGCCGATGAAATTATCTGGTGGCTTTCCAAGAGCAGGGAACACGTTTCTTCACTGGCATGCACAGTCTGCTGCTGGTCACCTACGTTACACCAGTGGGCTTGCTGAGCACCAGCCTTTCCTCCTTTCAGAAGACGGGATCATTTTCTTAAGCAAAAAGCCCATTTATTGTAGGAGAAAGGAAGACAGCCCATAGGGGAAGGATTTTAAGATGATCTGTATCACCGCAGCCACCCCATCATCTTCCGACCATGGTGGAGGCAACTTCTCGAGCCATGCCCAAGGCTTTGCTTCTTCCTCTCTTGCAAACAGCCTGGAGAATTTGCTGGATTCAGGGACATTATCCCCCTCCTAACCCTGGCCGGGAAGACTCAAGACGCTCAGCACCAGCCTTTCCCCAGCTGCCCCTTTCCCCAGGCGGGTCCCGAGTGGGGTGATCACCCTGACAGCCCCACTCGGTTCTCGGGGGTGCCCTGTCCTCAGCAGGATTCGCCCCGTGACCCTCCAACTAACGCCAGCCTCAAAGTGGCTGCAAAAAAAGGTGACCAAATCTGAAGCCTAAAGCCCCCGGCACCGGGACGCCGGCTGAGAGAAGCCATAGGCTCCGCTGCCGGACCCAGCGTGGCACTCGGGGCTGTGAGAGCCGAGTTTTGGCAGTCTCAAGCCCTGACAAGAGGTGGATGAACCTCCTCGGTGCTGGGCAGGACTGGGACCGATGGACCAGGCTGCCAGGAGGGTGACGGCGAGCCCCGGAGCTGGATGGGCAGGGACAGCCGGGAGGGAGCCTGGAGAGAAGAAGACATCGGGCAGCAATTGAAAAGAAAGAAATTACAGTCCTTAAACACTTCTAGAAACAAATTTCTGATGTAAATCTTCCTTTTGAAGGGAAAAAAAAAAAGGGAAAAAAAAGAAAGGAGTGATTCTACGCCTCCATCACCCGCCTCCCCCCGCCTGAGCCACACACACCTTCACACACACACGCGCTGAAATTAGTTGTGACAGCTGAAATTCTCCTCTCGTCGGACGCCGTTTGACAGGGTACTTAAAAAAGAGGAGGAAAAAAAAAAAAAGAGAAGAAGAAAAGGGAAAGTGGTTTGGTGTTGCATGGGGGAGGCGGAGGGGGGTGATGGGGTGGGGGGTTTCAAGTGATACAAGGCGCATAATTCAGGCTTCTTGGATTGCAAAAGCTCCTCTTACCTAAAGGGCCTGCTGCCTTTATTTTTATCCAAATGGCTCAATTACTGCAAAGCCCCACAGAGAAAATTATGGATGTTTGCCTCTATTTTTCTCCCCTTGTCTCGACAACTGTAGATATTTTGTTTTCCTTCTTTACATCTCTTTTTTTTTTTTTTTTTTTTTTTTTCCCTTTTGGTGGTGGTGGGTGCGGGGGGTGGAAGGTGGCCGGGAACCAGGATGGGGGATGGACAGGGAGATGCGGGGGACCCAGGGCGAGGGTCAGGGCGCTGGCACGCAATGGCCCTGCCGCCATCACACAACTTGGTCCTCTCTCTGTCTCCCCCGCGTCACTTCGCACCTTTGGCTCCTTGCGTCCCCCTCGTCCCCGTGTCCCCCACCCTTCTCCCTTCCTCCAGCCCTCTCTCCCTCTCTTCTCCCCCACCTCCCTCCTCTCCTTCCCCCTGCTCTCCTCTCCATCACCCCCTCCCTGTGCCTCTCAAAGCCACCATAATAGCAGCTTGTTTGGCACTTCACTTGGTCTCAATGAGAAAATTCCCCCCTCTCCCTCTTTTTGCCTTCGTTATTTCCAAACCCTGCAATAGCTCCTTTGCTCAGGGCTGCGGGAAGTGCCCATTTTTCAACATTTTTCTTTGGCTTATGTTTGTCATCCTCTGAATTACCGCACCGGGGAGTCCAGTCAGCCCGACACCAGGCCCTGCTATTCACGCCTCTCCTGCTCCTTGAGATCATGTAGGGAGAAATTAGTTATTTATTTCGAGCACCACTGCAATGCACTTCCCCACAGAAGTGTTTGTTTTGATCCCCCGCTGGAAAAGGAGGCTCCACGGGGAGTGCCGGTATGCCGGCAGTACCGGGTCCGGCAGGAGACGCGGTGAGGGCAGGACAGGGTGCGGGCAGCCCCGGGGGCTCTCGGGAGAGGTGTGAGGATGGAGACCCCCAGCGAACACGTGGCTTGTGAGACGGGTCCCCCCCCATGCTAAGATGCTTCCCCAAGGCTCCTCCTGGAGCGGATGCTCTCTGCAGGTCCCGAGAGTTTCCAGGTGATGTTGTCCCATCAGGGAACCTGGTTGTCCGTGGTTTTATCCCTAGGTCAGATATGCCATGGTGAGATGAATCCCAGGACTGCGTGGCACCGGGGGAGTATCCCACCCCAAGGTGGCCATGACTGCACCAGGGAGTGCAACACAGGAGGCACTGAAAGACTGGACAGATTTGGTGGCTGGAGGAAAAAAACCCTGCTCCAGCCCAGCCCACGGTCACCAGACACGGTCCCCAGCCCCGCTCACTGGCTGCTGTCCTGCCCACCCCATCCCCCTTGGCAGAGCGGTGCCAACCCTGCATGGGCAGCCAGGCTTTTGGGCAAGGGCAGTGCAGACCAGGAAACATTCACCAGCTTGGAGAGAGTCCCAGATGACGGGAGATGGGAAGGATGCTGTCCAGGGAAAAGCCATCCTTGGAGGTCGTAACCCACCTCCCCTTCTCCCTGTGCCAAGGTCAGGAGTCAGCGAGACCCATCGCTCAGCCCACCAGTGCTGGTGCAGACTGGGCTGGCATGTCTGCAGCTCAACAGCCGCCCTGGCACTCGGGATGCTGCCAACGCCGGTGAGCCCTTCTCCTTGCGGAGATGCCATGGGCAGGCACGGGCAGCACCGGCACCAGCCGCGGCAGGCTATTGGGGAAGGGGCCCAGGGAGCTGCGGCTTTAAAGAAAGAAGAGGAGCAGCGGGAGAAGGAAAATGCAAAATTGGCCCAGTGGGTAGACCTGCTATTTAAGTGCAGTTGAGAAGCGAGCGGGAGGAATTACAGGAGAAATGATAGTGCCCTGACAGCTGCCATTTCCCACCGCCAGTCTCCCCTAATGGAGTCCTAATGTAGTGGTGGGCTCTTCGCTGACAGCCTAGCCCGAGACAGGGCTCGTCTTTGTGCTGGTGACAGATGGGACAGTCCGGCAACAAACCTGTAATCCTCTGATTTCTGCCGGCGCTGGCTCAGCTTAACCCCTTCTTCCCCCGGCACCCGCTCGCTGCCCAGGTGTGTGGCCGGCGTGGGGTCCGACCTGCCCCCGGGGTCCCCCATCGACCCGCTGCGGTGTGCCGGGTCTGGCAGCAAAGCAAGGCTCTGGGAAAAGCAGGCAGCTGCCTGTAGCTCCCTCCGCATCGCTTGGCTGCTGCTGGCCGGGGCAGTGTGTCAGAGGCTCAGCCTGGTCACCAAACTGAGCCGGAGCAGGCAGCAGCGTGGCTCCCTGCGGGGAAAGCAAAATGCCGGACCAGGCTCTGGCCGGGTTGCCCATGCTGCTCTGCCTGTGTGACATTTAAGCAGGCAGGTGACTGCAGGCAGGTGAGCTCAGGCAGGTGTGCTCTGCAGCACGGTACCTGCCGGGAGGGCTCTGGGCTGCCTGCCCGGCACAGCACCGGCCGGGAGCCTCCTGCTACCGCTGGCTGCTGGTTCTGGCACTGAGCCTCCTTGCCTGCCTCAAATTAGCCCCAAACCAGGGTAGGATTAGACAGTTTTAAGCTAAAAGGTGTGACAGTTCCCCCGCAAGACCAGGCTGCCTTGACTACACGCAGCTCTGGTCATGCTCCCCGGGATGCCGGGGGTGGCAGCGGGAAAAGCTGCTGGAGTTTTTCTGCAGAAAAAGAAATGCAGCTACTCCACGCACTTGTCTGTCTGCTGGTGGGGAAGGCTGGGCATGCTGGGGGGTCCTCTTCGGCAGAGGGCTGGGCAGAGGGATGGTCTCGCTCCTGGGATGCAAAGGGGGAGATTAACCACCTGCTGATCTCTTCTGCCCCATCTCAAAGGGCCCAAAGGATCCCTGGGGAGGGATTTTTGGATGCTTCTCCATTAGGCAAAGGTCCAAGCCCCTCTGCCTCCTTCCCAGCACAGAGCATCTCTCACTTTCACCCTATCTGCCTCCCAACACGCATCGGGGTCTCCATCCCCTCCAGTGAAACCCATCGGCATCCTTCCAAGCTGCAAGGGAGCTGTCTCCCATCGGCATGGGGCAGCCAGCTCTTCTCAGCCCCCAGACACAGAGCCATCACCCCAGGATCACAGGTACCCAGCAAGAAGTCACTGGTCCAGCGGGATCCCAGCACCCTCCTCCTCTGCTCCTGAGCTCTTACCCCACCGGCAGCGTGCCTGCCTGCTTTCCTGCCCGGGCAGGAGTTAGCAGGTAGGACAGATTGCTCCAGGCAGCTCTGTTGGGTCCAGCTTCTTGTCCATCCCACTGCAAAGCGGGGTCCTGAGCTGAGTCCTGCTCCCAGCTCTGCGACCATCCTCTCCGGCTGATCCAGACCTACCCAAGGCCACGGGAATAAAAACATCCCCATCCCACATCTCCACCCCACCAAACCCTGGGGAGCAGCTGAGACCCCAGGGACGATCCTGGTGGATGCTGAGGGTCCCTGTTATCCTCTGCTCAGCGGGGAGCCCCAGCCCCCAGCAGCATTAGACCCTGCTTGGCAGGAAAGCGCTATGCGGCGTGCGCAGGTCCTCGGCACAATTAGCCAACAAGTGGCTGTTTTGTGAGGGATTGTTGCTGATGTGTTTTAAGTGGCTTTCTGAGTGGAAAATGTTAGGCACTGGAGAGGCCGGCAGACAAAGAAGGGGATGCATTAGGTTTTATTGGTCTGCTTTGCACACATCTGACATCACTCCATGGAGCAAGTTCTACCCGGCTTTGGGGAAAATGAAAAATAAAGCAAGAAAAAGAGGCCGAGGGTACAGGGACGGGGGGAGCATGAACGATTCAAGGAGGCAAGTGGGGGCTTAATAGCAGGAGACACTGGAGCAAACTGTGTCAACCAGATGGGACCCGGGTGCTGCGGGAGGAGAGGGGAATTAGCCAACCCGCGCTTTGTTCCAGCAGAAAGCGCGGCCCTCTCCCCCCAGGAGCTGCCTACATGTGATATAATACAGCCCCTTTCAGCCGCTAAGCTGGCCAAGGACAAAAGTCACCGATAAATAGCAAGAGGGCGAGGCTGAAAGCAAAAGGCAGAGTTGCCAAGAGCCCCCACTTTCTCCTTGGGCTGCCCACGCTGCTGCACATCTGCCCTGGCCGCTGGCGCGGGGACCCGTGGGCACGGCGGTGGCAGGGCTGGGGGCGATGCCGTGGGACAGGGCTGGGGGCAGGAGGGGTTTTGGAGGCATGGTGCCTTCAGCGGGGGCGATTGCATCCTGCGTGACGTTCGAGGGTTGTCCATGTTTTCTCTGCCTTGATTCCCTTAGCCAAGCCATAAGAGCAAGAGCCCCCGTGCCTTGGGCATCCCCCAGCGCGCACAGGGAAGGGCTGGAGGCTGCCGTCCTGACCATGTCTCCCGGCAGCCCGCCACTTGGGCTTATTAAGCCAACGTGCATCCTTCACTCCCAGGCTCCTGTAAAAACACCCCCAGCATCAAATAAAACAGTCAAAAATCCCTCACCCAGTCCTGAACGCTGGGGAGCCAGCAGCAGACCCCCACCAAGAACTCTCCCTGCAGCCGCCTGCTCACGGCTGTCGGCATCCCTCGGTTCCTCTGCCGTTCATCCAGAGCCCGGGGAGCACCCTGCTCTGCCCCCACCCACTGCCACCCTCCTGCCCACATGCTGGGTGCGGGGGCTCGAGGGTTGAAGCCACCCCAGCTCCTCGTATTTTGGATCCAAAGGTATCCCGGCCATCATGCCCTGGTGCAGAGCTTGAGACCCACAAACTGGAAGGAGGACACCCCAAACATCCCTGGTCTGAGCTGGCACCCTTGGTTTGGGGTCTCCCTCCCCTCCCAGCCCCTGGCAGGGACCCAGCCCGGCCAAGCGCTAAACCAACCATGGGGCTGTGCAAACAGGCGGGACCCCCCATCTTCTCCACCCCCTCCCCTGCCCCCAGAGGGGTCTTCCTTGTTCTTGCAGAAATATTGATTCAGATAAACCAGGGAGATACATTAGGTGCCCCGGGGGGGTCAGGAGATCAGCGGCTCAGCTGGCCACCCGCCGCCCCGTGGCCATGGGGTCCAGCTACGTAGGACCGGGATGGGCAAGGGAAGCACCGAGGGCCTTGGGAAGCCCCTTATGCCACCGAGGGGGCTGGGGCAAAGTGCTTTTGCCAAGGGGAGGTAAAACAAATCGATGAGGGGCCGCCGTGACACGCTGACCCTGGCGCTGAGCCGTGGTTTTAACGTGTGACAGTAAATCTGGGCAGGGGGCTCAGAGGCAGATGGCTGGAGGGGGGAGGCGAGACGGGGCACTTGCTGGTGGGATGAGGGAAGGGCGAGAGCTCCCAAACTGAGCGGAGACCGGCAGAGCCCCTGGGGAAGGGAGAGGAGGTGGGAAAGGGCAGCTCAGATGCTGACATGGGGATGGGTGATGCCTCTGCCACCACCGGGATGCCCCTCGTAGCCAAACATCACTCCCGAGTGGTCCCTCCTGCTGCTGCCCATGCCCTGGTCCAGCCAGGAGGGCTGCGGGGTGCTGGAGCAGAGACACCCCGAGGCTTTCTCCAAACTCACTTCCATCCAGCCGACGGGAAGCATCCCCTCCAAACGGAGGTCTCAGTTTCCAGTCCTCGGCTCCTCGCTCCCACCTCCCATCTCTCACCCCCCGCTGAAGCCAGAGGAGAGGGCAGGAAGGCACCAACGGCCATGGATCCAGTTACCTGCGGCCAACAAAACCTACCTGTCCCTTCCCGGCTGCTCCCCCTGCCCCCTCTCTGGGGGGGACAAACCAGAAGGACCCCCCGGCCCTCCCTGAGCATCGCCGGGTCGCTGCCTGCCACGATCAAGTGACCAGATGGACGTCGGGCTTGCACCGCAGCCTCTTCTGTGGGTCCCTTGTCCCCCCTCCCCAAGCCGGCTGAGCTTTGACGCTCTGTCCCCCCGGGGCAGCCTTTTGTCAGGGGCGTGCAGAAGGGCCCCTGTGTCCCTCTGATCCCCGCCGGCCCCACGGCAGCGCGTCCCCGGCCGGAGCATAAAGCTGGCTTTCAGGGACCCAGCATTGGGAAACTCCCGGGGAAGAAGCAAGGGAGCTTCTTGTTAAACGGGGAGACAAAGCCACCTTGTTAAGGGGTTTACAAAGGCAACCATCTCCCCCTTGCCTGGGAAGCTCGCGACTGGCGACTCCCAACCTCACCGGGGGGATGGCTTTTCCTCGGAAAGATAGAAACACTTAATAGCCATGCTGTGCTTGCAGCCCTGTGACCCGTGTGCGGGGCCCAGGGCACCTTCCCCGCTCCCAGGAACCGCTCAGAGCCACGTCTCCGAAGGAAAACGGGAACCAAACGCTCATCATGGGGGATCCCGTGATTTTCCCGCGAGTACACCGTCGCTACCGGTGTCCCCGCTGAGGGGACGCCACCCTCAGTACCTTGGCACGGGGACCACCACCTGCACAAAATTATGTGATATTGGGTAGCACAAGAGGATTTTCTGTCCCTCCTTTGGGAGACATGGGCCAGGATCCCCTCCCACACACCCCACGGATGGGGAGATGGAGCCCCAGGAGGGGATGTGATGGGGACACAGTCCCACAGGGTACAGCCACACAAGACCTCCCTGCTTCCCTCCTGCAAGACATCATCCCTTTTGCTCGCATGGACCCAGTGATCCCTTTCTCCACCCAATAAAATAAAGTTTAAGCAAAAAACCCCAGAGATGCTCTGTCCTCCTGGGAATTTTCTTTTAACACCCATCTATTCTTACCATCTTTTGCAGAAAAAAATCCCTGCCCCAAACAAGGTCAGCGAGATCTTTGGCATGACCTTCATGGGATCTGACAGCAGCTCAGCCTCTGATGGGCACCCCCAAGCCCCTGGACCCCCATTTTGCAGACCACGTCTGGGGACTCCACACACCGGGGCCACATCTGAGCCCCCAGGATGCATTGCCCAAACCTACGCATTGTTCCGAGTTGTTCTTGGCAACGCTTGCGTTAAAATCCACATGCATATTAAACCTTAAACCCAGTAATTACCTCTACCTCCAGAGGAACGGGAAAATTGATTTTGCCATAGTGATGCAGCAGGCTGCAGTAGCCAGCATTGGCTGGTCAGCTTATAAAAACCGGCCCCCCTGGGCACGTACAAAGCCCGCCTGGGTGCGACAGCCGGCTCAGCAGGGGAAGGGAAGACCTGCCTCTGCTAGCAAGCCCTAGGGACAGGCAAAACGGGCCAAGCCCCATGCGGTGAGCCCTGCCGAGCAGCGAGTGCGTTGCCAAAAAAAGCCAAATTAACAGCCAGGAGCTTTTGCCCCTGCTTTTCCCTTTGGCATGTGCTTGCCTCCCACCTATGCTTGCAGGTGGCACTTTGGGGTGTCCAACATCCCTCCTAGCATCATCCCCACATCCTCCTCCTCCTCCTCTCCCTGGGGAAAAGCCATCCCTGGGTGAGCGAGGCTGGAGGACACGTCACCTTCTCCGCTTTGAGCCAGCAAACGTGAGCTGCTGCGGCAGCCTGTGCTGCGTGGTGCCACCCTGGTTGCCGGTCCTTTGCCGGGAAGCCCCAGCCACGGCTCTGTACCCCGTGGGGCTGGGCTGGAGGCAACTTTCCCTCACCGGGACCAGCACTAAATTGGACTGCTGCAGCTTTAAAGAAGTATGTCTGCTCCTTGGCTGGCTGCAGGGCTGGTGGCAGCCGGGAGAGCCGGAGGACACCTGCGGAGATCCTGTACAGCTGGGGAAGATTAGCCTTTTCCACTAGACAAGACCCATTACCATGTTCCAATATACCATCACTTCCGCTAGGAGAGCCTGCAGATGAGATATCGATTGCAATGACCCCGGACAAGCCCTTCCCTGGAGCCTGGCAGGGCGGCAGAGCAGCCCCACGGCACGGCCCTCGGTGCAAAGAGGGGATGCAGCTTCCCAAGGGCATCCCCAGGGACCCCCAGCCCCAGGGTGGCAAGGGGCTGCCTTGGAGCAGCCTGGAGCTCAAGTGATGGGCGATGCTACGGGGGGATGCGCAGAAGAGCTTCGAAGCCCAGCAGTGACCCAGGTCCCTTCCCAGGGTCCCTCCACGCTCTTCCCAGCTCTGCCCTGGGGATGGGGAGCCCCCAGCCCACACTCTCCGCCCTTATAGCCAGGTGGGTGTTGCAGAAACAAGCCTGCCGCCTTAAAAGCTCAAAAAGTTATTCCCAAACTGCCTCTGCTGGGGAGTTACCAGGTGGTTCAGGAACTGCTCACACCATGCCGCTCGCCCACTGCGCTTCCCTCCTGCTGCGATGTGAGGCTGGCCGCCCCAGATCCTGAAATACCTCCCTGAGATGCACCAGGGGTGGAAGGATGCTGGGAAACTGTAATGGGGGCAATGAGAAACCACCAAATCATGGGAACTGGAAGGGCTGATGGTAATTAAAGTAGTAAAGTAATTAAATGTGGTGTTTGACTCACAGCATCCTATCGCTGCAGCCGCCAATAGCTGCACCAAGGGGAAAGGGCAGGCACTTGCTAGGTCTCCACTATCCTGCGGTCCCATGATTTTCAAGATTTTTTTTTTCCCTCCTGCAAGACTCACGCTGGGTTTGACTTGGCTTTTCGAATAGACCGAGCTCTGCTTTACCAGCACGATGTGCTTTCAGCCCAGTTGGAAGCAGCAGCTGGAAGTCGACACATGCTGCTCCTCCAAGGCTGACCACAGCCACGTCCACCACCGCCTCCAAGAGCAACCCTGCGCTGCCTGAGGAGCTGGAGCTGCCGTGGTACGAAACATCCTCTAACCTCAGCCGAAAATCTCGTCGTGCATCCCAGCGGGTGCAGCGAGGCATGGGCAACCGCGGCACCCTCGGGTCCAGGCTCCGAAGTGCTGCAGCGTGAGTGCTGGAGAAGATTCGAGGCCTTGGATTTAAATGGCTTTTTCCAGCTGATGATTTAAGCACCCTGGGGAGAGGTGGCCCAGCTGGTGCGATGAGCCCTCCTGGAGCACATCCAGCATTTCTCAAGCGTTGGGACACAGGAAGCTTCTGCTGTGATGCTTGGTTTTGGTTCCCCCCCCCCCCCCGAAAAGTCATCAACTCCTCATTGCACCAAGTTCTTTCAAACTCCACTCTGCCGGTGGAGACTTCTGTCATGGTCAAGCCATGTAGCTGCCAAGGACGGGCAGGGGAGGTAACACAGCTTACAGGGCTGCCTGTTGTCCCATGGGCCAGCTCAGCACCCTTCCCCAGCGTGCAGGAGAGCAGCAGCTCTGTTCCCATCTTGCTTTTTGGATGATCCCCCCCGGAGGTGGCTCCTGATGAGGTTTCGAGCCCTTTCTCCCATCTGGGAAGGGGCTGCTGTGGGAGGAACGGGGCTGGCTCGATGCCGGGCACCCATGCTGGGGTGGGCTCAGCAGCGCACCCCCGCTGACCACCACCACCACCGCTGCAGGGCTCCGGGACGCTGCTCACAGAGGACCCCCGTATGAAGCTGCACTTTCAGCACGGACTTGCTGCTGAAAGCAATGGGATGTAGGGAACGCGGCGGTCCCACACAGCATCCCCCTCCCCACACCCCACGGGGGTCAGACAGGCTCTACCAGCCCAGAAAACCATTTCTCTCCCCTCGCCTGACAGCCCTCCGCTGCTTTCTCCTCCCAAGATGGTCGCTGCCAGTAATAGCAGGGAAAGTCACATCCAAGCTGGGAAAATAACATGTTATTTTCCCAGCTGTGATGTCAGAACTTGTCATGCTTGCCGGCTCGGCAGCAGGGTGGGCAGGACATGCCTGGATGTCCCCAAACAGCCACCGGGCCTGGCTGTCCCCTCGAGGGCTGCACAAATGTTCTCCTTGGTGGTGGCAACTCTGCTTTTGCTCCCCAAATGGGTGGGAAAATGGCACGTCCAGGCTTCCAGGATGGGGCTGACCGGTGCCCCGTGGCTGTGCCGGGCACCGCAGGATGCAGCACGGCGAGTGCATCGCTCCCAGCCCCAGAGAGCATCTCTGCTCCTGGCCTGGGGACACCCACCGTGGGGACACCCCAAACAGGGTCCTTCCCCATCCTTGGCGGCGCAGAGCAGCAGCGGAACCCAGGTGTTTGCATAGGTTAGAAAGTGTTTTCTTTCCTTCCTCCTGCTGCCTCTGTAGTTTCAGAGCAGGTCTCCCTCACCGAGCCGTCCCTGCATCCCGGCCGAGCGCTGCAGCCTGAGCCCCAGGGACGGAGGGACTCGCAACTCGCCCAGGCACGATGGCAGAAAAACCCGCTGCCCAGCCTGGAGCAAGCACTCCTCTCCTCCTCGCCTCCCGCAACACCACCGGAGGATATTTCCCCTGTTTTTTCCTTTTCAACAAGCCCCAAGTCTGCTCTTAAAACGCACTAAAATGAAGACAAAAGAGAAAGGATCAAATCCTCTTAACCCATCCCCACCACCGAGCTCGCCCCTCCGGACCAGCGCTGTGCGGAGTGATGTCCTCCGCTCCCCACCTTCACAGCAAGGTACCGACAAACCCCCCCACGTCCTTCAGAGGCACTTAATCCATTACAAATTTCACAAAGCCCGGCTTGAGGAAGCGCTGGGCCAGAAGAGCAAACAAACAAGGCAGGAATAAAGCCCGGCTCTCAATGAGCAGACCCAGCGCGTGGCTGGGTTTTTATTTCTTTCCCCACTTCTCCTCTGGCCGACCACCTTTTTTTAATGATTGCATTTCACTTGCCGGCCGTAACAAAGCCATCACCTCCGCCGTGACTCTGGGGAGACGAGTTACAATTACAAATTACCACCACAATTAGTGCTAGTTCTTAGAGAAATTAGAAAGGGGAGCAGGAGGCTCGCGTGCGATTGATTGCTATTCATCCTGCTTTACGGTGACCTTGCTCTGGAGACGATGATATTCCTTCAGCCTGGAAAACGGATTAAAAAAAAAAAATTAATTGTAAATTAACAGTAATAACACACATTTCCTTTCAATTAATTTAAGCAGAATGAGGGGGCGTGAAGAGCAGGCATTTGTTAAGGCCTGTACAGTTTAATTATTTTTTTTTCCACAAGATAATGTAATTAATTTATCTTAGAGGGGTGGGGGGACATGGCGGATCAGGGAGAACAAAGCAGTTAACAGGCAATGGAAAAATTAAGAGCCCATTATGTAAATGCAGTGTGTTTTACAGCCCTGGGGTTGAGGGGGAGTATGGTGGGGTCTGAGAAATAAGTAAAATAACGAGACCGGCTGTGCTGGGGAAGGCTGTAATTAGACAGGGCTGGTTCTGGGGGGGCTGGCTGCACCCCGGCAGTGGATGGGGGCTCGAGGGGAGGCCTCGGTGCCCCCCCAGAGCCCGAGCTGGGAAGGGGAAAAGCCCTGGGGGTGCTGGGGGCTTTTCCCCCTCCTCGGGGAGGGTCCCGCCTCGACCCCACAGACCTCAGCGAGTTGATGTTGATGAAGCCGGTGGCGTCGGCGGGCTCGTAGTCCCCTTGCACGTTCATGCTGAGGAGAGAAAGGCACCGTCACTGGGATGGGAGGTCCTGGAGGAGGACGGGGGGGGTCTTGGGGCTGCCTTTTGGGATGGGAGAGGACACAGGTGACCCCAGAGCCGGCTGCTCCCCCGGGGCCGGTGCCCGCTGTTGCCCCCTCATCAGTTGCTGGTGGGTGCGGGGGGCTTGGGCCAGGGTCCCCACTAGCCCCCGGGGAAGAGGCACGTGGCCACAGGAGCAGTAGAGCCACAGGGCCACCCCGACGGCCATCCCCGGGGCCTGCTGGAGACACAGCCCCAAATTTTCCACCGTGGTCCCTCGTGTGCAGCATCACCCTTCCTCCCCGTGCTCTTGCATCAAGCAGGGATGCTCGCCGTGTCCCCCAGGTTTGGCTGTCCCATGCCAGGCAGGAACATTGCCCTGCGGAGGGGACATTGCCCCCGGCAGGGCAGCGGTGCTGGAGGAGACCCCCGGCACCGATGGGGTTTATGGCCACGGCGGCCGGTGCCTCGGCACAACACCGAGAGCATCCCCCTCCTCAAAGGTGGCAGCCACCCACCGGATCCCAACTCCAATGGTTTCCTACATCCCCAAAATACACGGCTCATTTCCCAGAAACCGCAAACCTTCAAGGAGGAATGGGGGGGGAAATAAAGAAGGAAAAAAAAAAAAAGAAAGAGTTTACAATGATTTTACCTCCCCTGACGGGCTACAGAAAAACCTCTGTGCTTTTATTTTTGCTCATTCGAGTGGTTCTGACCTGCTCTATAATTACGTTACTTTCTACCTACTGTGCAGAGGCATTTCCACACAGCTCTGCCTCTCACAGCTTTCTCTCGGGTTCCTGTGACGCCGTCACTCAAAGGCTTTCAAACCAGCGATGTAGAAATCAAAAAGAAAAGGAAAATGGTTGGAGACGCAGGGAGAATAAGTGCCCCTGCTTTTCTCTCCCTCTCTCTTTTTCCTCTGTCCCACCCCCCTCCATCCTCCTTTTTTTTTTTCCCCTTTTTTTTTTTTTTTTTTTTTTTTTTAATACTTTATTCATTTAATCTCTCCAAGTGAGAGCGCGAAGCATAATGAAGGGTTGGGACGGATTATTAGGAGCTGTTGATTTTGAGGGGGAGGGAAGGGGGAAAAAAAAGCCAGAGAAGAGAAAGAGAGAAGATAATTTGACATTTACTCCGACTGATCTAAACTCATTCGGGTGTATTTATGGCTTATAAAGTGTTTAGAGAGATTGAAAGGGGTTGAGGGAGGGCTGGGGGGGAAGCGAGCAAGCGAGAGGGAAAACAACGTAAAGAAAAGGGAAAAGCCAGAGGGGAAAAAAATAATATTGACTTGAAAACATGGCTCGTGCTTTGGCCAGGCACTTGGCTGGGAGGATGGCATCGCTGGTGTCACTGGGGATGGGATGGAGTAGGATGGGATGGGATGGGACAGAGTGGGATGCGACGGGATGGGATGGGATGCGACGGGATGGGATGGGATGCGAAAAGATGGGGTGAGATGATCACTACCACCCCCCCTGCCCACCCTGGCCCCCCCAAACCCCACTCACCTGACCAGCTCCTCGTTGTACAGTGACCGCGGGGACTCCCTGCCCAGGACGTAGACCTGGCCCTTGAAGACGGAGAGGCGCACGGTGCCCACCACCCCCTCCTGCGAGCGCCCGATGCACTCCCGGAGGAATTCGCACTCGGGGCTGTGCCAGAAGCCTGCGGGCAGAAAGGAGGGTCAGCGGGGGCACGGGGGAGGTCGGGGTCCCCCAGGGTGCCCGTGCAGGGTGGTCCCCCAGGCTAAGTCCTGCAAAGCAGACCCTGGGTAATTTTCGAGGGAAGGGATGCGGTCATGGGATGGGGAGAGGGAAATGAGGTGCTGGGACACCCAGGTTCAGCCCTGAGGGATGGAGACCTCATGTGTGTCCCTTCCCCTTGGTGGCCCTTGGGTTCCCACCCGGGAGAGGAGGCTGGAACCGTGGGGCCATACTCCTCCCAGCTCTGCCGGGTGGGGGTGATCATGGAAATTAAAAGCTTCATTAAGGAAGTATGAAACTGCCACTCAAAACCCACCATCTTGGGAGGGTCAGGTGGAGACAGACAGATGGACACAGAATTGGGGGGGGGGGATCAGCTCACAGCCCCCTGCGAAAAGGATGAGCTGTTCTCCCCTGGGATGGGCAGGGCAGGATTGGCCCCGAAGGACCAACCTTGGGGGGACACAGCCCCTACAGTAACACTTTGCTCCTGGACAGCCCTGGGAAAGGAAAACCCCCCAGCAATGGAGGTCCCGGTGGGATGCGGAGCAGAGCGCTCCCCCCAGGTAACACCGGCAGGGCTGACCCCGGGGCTGTATCGGGCTGCACATCGGGGCACGGATGTCTCGGCAGCCCCGGGTGGGCTCACCTCCCCGGCCCTTCCTAGGGCAGCGGGGGTCCGCTTTCCCCCACCACCGCTCACCGTTTGACTTGTCCCCCCCCAGCTCCCCGGAGCGAGGGGCTGGCAGGATGCGGGGAACCGGTGCTGGCACCCACGGAAAGCTCCATCTAACCACAACCACGGCAAGTGCCTCTCCCTCCTGCCCCAGCTCTGGCCAGCACGGCAGCCCCCCAGCACCCCAAGCCCCCGGCAGCTGGGCTGAAGCCCAGGCTGGGTGTTGGGGTGATGTGCGGTCACACCACGGCTCCCCAAAACGCATCCTGCGGGAGCAGCCATCGGCATTGCTGTCCACCGAGGCCACTGCGGGCGCACAGAGGGGCTGTGGCCCTGCCTGCCGCCCCTGTGCCCCCTCCTGTCCCTAAGCAGGGTAATTAGCCGGAGAGCCCTCGGAGACCTGGAATAAAGCCTGGGAGATGGAAAAGGAGATAGAGGCGGTGAGAGAAAGAGCCCATTCACCACCCTCCGGTCATCCCCAGGTTTTATCTCTCCCATCGCTCACACACCGGTGCCCTCTCACCTTTCCCTCCCCAGCTGGGCTCTGGGGCCGAAGCCATTAAAGAAACAAACAATTTCTTTTGTTGTTTGGCTTCGCCGTATCCTGCAGCCTTGTCCCCAGGATCTACGTAGCCCTGCTCCGAGGCACAGTGTCAAAGCCCTGCAACCCCTCGCCACCAAAACCACCTCCCTGACCCAGACCCCCCCCTCAGCCACCCCACCATGGCATGCCTGGGGGGCTCGGGGACCCGTTCCCCGCAATCAGCACTGCCCTGCAGGCAGGGACCCTGGCTCCAGGCAAATACACCCCTCTTTTTGGTAACCCCCCTCCAGGTACAACTCCTGAAACATCAGGATTGACGTAGGGCTGTTGCATCCCCGTAAAAATAAACCCAAGACACATCAAAATAATAACCACCTACTTAAACCCTGACTCTGACAGGTCCAGGTGCAAGGAAGCATTCCCCCCCGCCTTGCCCCCCACCGCAGACCCATTCCCCACTGGAAGTGAGCCCCCTTAATGACCTTCCCTCCTTGTAACCGTCATGCTGCCCTAATCACGACGAGGGCAGGGGGACAATGGCGTTTCCGCACCTGGCCGTACCTGCCGGGACGGGAACTGGCTTCAAAGCCACCCCTCCACAATGGGATCAATGGGGACGGGGAGAAGATAAACACTAATTCTTCTAAAATCAGGGACTAGTTGTAATAATGAGGTGTTAAAGAAAGGTGAGCTTGAAAGCCTGGCCTCCGGCATGGGGACCCACGGGTGCTGTTTGCACCCCCTTGGGGTTGTTCCTTGGATTTGGGCTCGGCTGCCAGGGAAGTCTAGGACCATGCTGAAAATCCCTGGGGATTCAGCATCTGGACCCAGGGAAACAGCAGCCTTTGCCTGGCAGAGGTAGGGAGGGAGAAGCGATTCCCCAAGTGGCTCTTGAGCCTGGTGGCTTCACAAAACGCGAGTGGTTAGAAATAAACAAACAGGTTTACGCTTAAACTAAAAAAAAAAAAAAAAGTCAAAATAAAGGCAGCCCAGGACAAAGTCTAATAAAAATAGCCAGAGGCAGGAGCGGCATCAAAGAGTGAATTAAGGCAGGGGCTGTGATTCAAGGGAAAGGTAACCAAGACTTCTGCAACCCTAGAAGCCTTCGCCCTGCCAGGGCCCTAAAATACGGTTTAAGCAGCAAAGGGGCTCGGGTATTAAATGCCTGTTGCTGAGGAAGATGCAGGAGGGATTGTCCTTGGAGGGGAAGGTGCTGAGGACGAGCACAGGCATCAGAAACTGCAGGGGAGAAGACAGCCTGACCCAGTCCTGCTGGATCTGCTGCTGCCCAAAGCCTGAGCTCCCAGAGTCAGGTTATTTCCAGGGGATCTTCCCATGGAAGATTTCACGGAAATCATCCCAGCCCTTGTGGTTAGAGATAAATACACACCGCCGTGCTTGGAGCCGTGCAGCAGGCACCCAGGTGTGGGCACTGGGGTTTTGAGCCCACCTATGGCATTTTGGGCTAATCCTGCTTCCTTCAACACAGCACCAGCGACCGAGTCGGGCTTGATCCAAGGAGCAGACCCTGGAACAGTGCTGATGTCCCTTCCCGAGGGTGCCGGGCTGTTCCCTGCAGCGCTCACCCCAGCAGCGTGGGGTGACTGAGCTGAGACCCCTCAAACTCAGCTCACACGGGCAGCTGAGCAGACCCGAGCTGGAGCCACTGGGTGCATCACAGGAGGAAGGACAAAGGGCTTCATTTCTGTCCCTAACTGCGGGTACGAGCCAGCATCCCCTTGTCCCTTATGGCTCCCAGCCCAATCCGGGCAGTGCTGTCCTCACCCAGGCCCGGCTGTGCTGGAAGCAGCTGGAAGCCCCTTCTGCAGCCCCCAGCAAAGCCACAACTCGCAGTGCCCCTGTGTGGGCTGCACACCGCATAGCACGGCCAGGACCCTCCTGTCCCCTCCTGCAGCACCCCCCTGGACCCCAGCAGCCAGGGCCACACTGCACTGAGAGCCCCCCCCCATGCCACGCACCCCTGTGTTTCCCCCCTGCCAGGGTACGGGGAGAGGTCTCCGGCTTCAAATCCCACCGCGGGGACGTGCCGGGAGCTTGGGTGCTCGTGTGCCCCATATCCCGGTGTGCTCCCATCCCGGTGGGACGAGGGCAGGCAGGGAGATGGAGAGAGTCGGAGGGGAGAGCTGGGGAAAGGCTATGGGGGGGGGACACAATGACAAAGGGACAGGGAATTACAGCCTGTGAGACAGCCAGATGTGTTGGATGGGACGAAGAGGTGGCACCGGGCTGGGAGAGATGCCGGGAGCATTCCCCACCGGCAAACCCTCGTGGAAGGCGGCATCGCCTCCTGAAAATCTGGAGCCCCTTCGGCAGAAAAGCAGGCAGAGCGTGGGGCTGAGCTCAGCCCTCGGCACGAGCAAACCCGTCTTTTCCCCCCGTGAGTGGCCTCAAAATCCACACCTGAAGTTTACAGCCCTGAGCGCGTGTACCAGCAGGACCTGCAGCCTCCGGTAGCAACAAGGGAGGAGGAGGAGGAGGAAGGCTGGGAGGATGCTGCGGCGGCAGGGCTGGGCTGAAGGACCGTACGTACCGTTGTACACCAGCTCGGAGAATTTCAAGGCAAGCCCCTGCTTGATTTTCCGTACTTCCCGGTCCATGGTGAAGGCCTCGATATCTAAATGCGCATGGTATAGGATCGTTCCCGCTGGGGTCTCATAGATACCTAGCCATTTTTCCAGGCAGGGGGAAAAGCAGGAAAAGAGAGAGAAACGAATGAGACCAAAACTGTCAGCAAATGACAAAAAATAATGACTTGGCTGACAGAAGGAGCTGTGGTCGAGTGCATTCAGTCTCAGCTCGCTGTAAAATGCATCTGTCATTATATTCATGCTGGGGCTGAGACAGTCCACTCCGCACCTTGCGGAGAAAATTTCTAGATTCCCCTCTTTGAAGAGGCACTCTGACGAGGCTAAATGACAGGGTTTGGGAACCGATCCCCCCACCGATCCGTGCCCAACGGTCTGCGGCTGAAAACCTGTAATTAAAGGAACGACGCGGGGCACAGGCACGGGGAGCGGAGGGCCTGAAATACCCTCCTCTCCCCTCGGCTGGCGAGAAAGAGCCCCGCGCATCCGCTGTGAAGCAATGAGGCTACCTGGGGGCTGGGAGGGCAACCTCATTTGGGGCTGGCAGGGCCCCCCCCAGTCCCTTCCCGCCTCCCCCCCCCATCGCATGAGGCCTGGGGATGGAGGGATGCTTAATTATTTCGGCGATGGGGGCTAACGCCGCGGGTGAGCTGCTCCCTTTGTTCCAGCCGCTCTGGGCTTATTTGCCGCATAACGTGTTTACTTGGTGTTTAAATACGAGGGCGGCCATGCGGTGTTCCGCTCCAGGTCGGATGCGGGTGGAAAGCCGGTGGGGGAAATGCTGAGCTGGTCCGGCAGCAAACACGTGGCGGGCACGGCTGTAACCTGCCTGTGGCCAGGGCTGCTCCGCCAGCATGTCCGTGTCCACGGGGACGGTGCCCTCCCAATGCCAGGCATCTGTGCGATGGCACGGCCGTGGGAACGGCGAAGGGCACCTGCACGTTGGGTTTTGCTGGCACATGAAGAAACCCCATAGGAAACCGTCCCTGCCAAAGGGGATGTGTCCCCAACCAGCCCCAGCGCTGAGAGGGGGTGAGGGGAACCCACAGGGCTGTCAGGGGGGCTCAAACCCGCACCGGGCTCTGCCTGCTCCGTGCCCTGCCCGCTCCGTGCCCTGGAGCGTGGCACAGGCTGAAGCAGGGTCCCATCCCGGGCTTGCCACTGGTCCCACAGACACGGCAGGAGCCCTATCTACCACGGCAGCCCAAGCCACTTCCATCAAACCTCAACCCTACCAGGGTCCATGATCTCAGCATCCTACAGGCGCGGGACGGGTCTCCGTCCCAAAGGAGAGCCGCCCCGTCCTCTCAGGCCACCCCAACGACGTTGCAGCCCGGTCCCCAGGGGCAGGTCCCTGGGTGCTCACTGAGCACCCATCCCCACAGGGCTGTGGGATGAGACAGCCACGTTAGCACCAAAAACCAGCCGTCCCCACGGGCACGGCGGTGGCACAGAGGGCTGCTGTATGCCCCCTCCAGCCCCTGAGCCTGCCACTAAAACAATTAATATTCCCTCTGCTTCCCCTTAGGAGGTGTTAAAACCAATCTGGGTTGATGGAAGGTTTGGATTTGTGTCTTGACCCCCACCTCCTGCCCATCTGCCTGCACCCCTGCCCATCCCATTCGACCTGATGCTGGAGGACCAGGGACCAGAGCGTGACAGCCGGGGTGGAGGGGAGGGGAGCTGACAGCCGTGCTCCCAGCCGAGGAGACAAGAGACACCTTCAAAGTGACACTCGCAGCGTCTCCAAGTGTCTATTTTCATCTCCCCGTGTTTACAGGAAAAAGACAGAGGTGTCAGCACCGCAGCCTGGCGAAGCTTCAATCACCCCGTAATTACTGCTGGGGAAGGGGGGGACTGGAGCGGGGGGG